TTCTTCCTGTGCCTGCAGCAAGGGAAACTGGGCTTGGGCTCTGGGCTCACCAGTGCTTAAGAACTTCTGAGAGTGCTTTTCACTTGCTCGATCTGACTTCAGGGCAGCCCGTCTTTGAAACCGCGACATACACCATTTCTCTGCCATAAAAAATATTTGTTGAAAGAGCTAAGTGGCTCCACATAGAAATGCAGAGATGCAGAGATGTCAACTAACCAATCTCTAATTATAGCAGAGGAAGGGCTTACTCACGGTTTTTCTCAGCTGACTCCACTTGGAAGGCTGTTCCTGATGAAAAGCTACTGTCAAAGCTATCAGTGATTTGCTTAGAAATGATAAACATTAATAAATCTGGATAAACTTATTTCTGAACAAAGTAGTTCACTTTTTCTCCTGCAAATCTCTGCTCATCATTCACCTTCAGATACTGACTCCCTTGTTTCTTATTCCAGAACTTGGGCAGATGGATGGAAGCCAGAATTATTGTGTTCAGAAATACCATTTACATTTGGATTCTTCTGGTATTTGAACTATGGTCAAATACTCTTAATGGCCAAAAACTGTTGTTGGGTTCTCCAACATGCTGCATGTTTTCTGAATTTTTTAAAATGACCATCACTTCTCTGTAAAAGAATAGAAAGTTAAAGTGACCCCTTTACCTCTTGTTTTATGTGAGCCCTGTGTGACATCCCTAAACAATATGTATGTATAAGGAAAAAAAACCCCTAAATTTAGTCATTTCATTCTGCTTTTATATCCACCAAGGTGGCCTAATATCTTAAAAGCCATGGGATATTTTGTAGCTGTACCAGTGAGTCATGACTTGGGGCTTCTTTTACAGTGCAGCTATCATAAGTCTTTGAGTAATCACAGACTTTAAAAGTATGCTACATCAACAAGATAAGAGAAACAGCCCACAGCACTAACAGCATTATCTTTTACCAAAATTGATTAGCCCATACTATGTGTCTCAAATATTTTGTATAAACTTACTCAGCAAGCTGAAAATAAGTGTTCATGAAGAACAAGATGAAAAAGCAATACTTGCTTGGTAGCAAGGAAAAGTGAGGTAAACATCACTAAACGGAATGTTTATCAATTCAGTTCTTTTTACCTAACTTTGCAAATCTTACAGTCAGGGCATCTCTTCCTTCGTGCTTGTATTTCTGTTTTGCTTCTTGCTGTACCTCTCAATAGAACAGCTGAGGGATCTAGGATGAAGGCAGCGGAATATAACGGCCTCTCTGACTTTGCTGTAGGACATGCTCCATTCCAGGTGTGTCTGGGAATTCTGCACACTATAATTTGCTATCATCAAGTGAAGGATATGGTATTCCAAATTGAGGTGGTCTGTTGCAAATACTGATCAGTAGAAACTACTGTGTTCAGGACAGAATTTTCTGCTCGCTTTTGGGTTAGAGCGCCAAGTAAGGAAGCTGTAGCAGTCTTTTTTTTTTTTTTTTGCCTCTTTTTTATTCCACTTTTGGAATCTCCATGGATAGTCACCTATGAAAAATCAGTAGCAGTTGACCCTTTACTCCTTTTTAAAATCGTGGCAACTCTTTCTTTCCCTGCTGTTAATGTGCGTGAAGTGTGTGAAGAAGATGCTGAGCACAGATGCAGAGGACAGGAGCTATTGAGAGCACTTCCTTGTACCTGAACTGTGTCTGAGACCCAAGGGCCAACACTTCTGCCCTTAGTGACCACTTTGACCAAATGCTTTTAATTAAGAGTCACAGGGAAAGGATCTTGTGGCCTAAGGGGAGCTTGCTTTAAGACAAGTAGCTCTGGGGCACCCCTTGCCCTGTTGAAAAGCCCCTGCACCTGGGAAGCCAGAGCCTGAGTGCAGGGAAGCCCCGTCCTTTCCACCGGCTCCATGGGTTGCCATCGTTTCCACACAAAAAGAGGAGCAGAATGTTGTAAATGAGTGCAGTAAATTGAAAACTCCTACTCAGTGGTCAGGGGAGTTCAGGAGAAGATTTTTAATAGTGACATTTGTAATCTTTCTTTTGCAAACCCTCGTACCAGCCCCTGGCTTTCCTCTGCTTATGGCAGACAAAGGAACGTATACAGTGATTTTACAAAAGGGATAAAGACCTGTGCTCTGGTTTAAAAAAATTAGACCTTGCTTTGTGTGTAGTTTTTATTATTATTGTTATTTATTTTTTGTTACAGTTCTCTCAGTGTTAACTTGTTTCCCACAACAAACAAGGATTTCCAGTAAGAAAAATACATTTGTCACGAATTAAACTGTAGTGTGCTGAACTTTGTAACAAACACTGCTAAAATGGGTTTCTTTGCCAAAACACACGAGACCATGATTCTCTTGCCCAACACTTGCATACATCCATAATTTTAAAGTTGCTTCTGACAAAGATGACCAGAGAGGGATTTAACTTTTTTTTGGAGGGGGAGGAATTATGATTGCAGGAGAAAAAAGTTTATGATGCAGAGTGTTTTGTAACCCTCTATAATCTACTGCTCTCTGTTACAACGTTCTTAATGGAGGGCAAAATGCAGCCGTTTCAGTACAATTCCACATAATGTTACTCCATCTGGAGGACATTTCAGTTTATTAATACTCATGTAAATACGTCACCCAAGCTACAATTTGTGACTGTAATCAGACAAAATAAAAGAGAGAATGCATTCATATTAACTTACTCAATTTGCAATTAAAGGCAAAAAATACAGTTTGGAAAAAATGACTGCTCATTTTAATGCCTGCCTCAGGCCTAAAGTTATCTTTACTAACATATCTTTCAAGATAAGGTTAATGTTGTGAAGGTTATTTAAAATATAAAATATGATGATGTGTACCTTAAAACTTAGGTAGGTTTTTGGATATCACTGGATGATCTGCCCTAAGTTTGTCGTTCTTAATCCATTAAAAGACAGGCCTGCTTGTAAATCCACAGGTACAGATAAGGAGTCACTGTTTGACTGAGTCTGAACCCTTTTCAAATGAAAAATGTCAGTGGCAGAAAGGGAGGCTGAATTATTTTTTAAAAGGGTTTTCAAAGATTCTCATGATTCCTCTGGTATCAGTTAAATGTGACATGTCCATAGACATGGCTGTTTTTTAGTGTGTAAAAGCAAGCAAATGCTACAGTTTCCATCTTTATGTAGAGAGAAAACGCTGCAGTAGATGTCAGTGATCAACATGTTGCCTTGCAATATAGGAGAGATTCCTTTCCTCTATAATTAGCATATACAGAGATTTTTTTTGAAATTAATTCAGTTTGTGACAACATGCTTGTGAAGGGGGAAAATGTATGTGTTTCACATTATATACATGCACACATATATAATTACATATAATCTGTAGCCTTTCCTGTTTACTATATCATAGCACCATCATGATGTGGATTCACCTGCAAATATATGGAAACTTTTATGAATTGATACAGCTCTGTTCTGTAGGATATCTCATGTACCAGTTTGGAAGTGGATCTGGTGCAGTATTTTAAGTAGTTTTGTAATCTGCAGTGCTCAGAGGTGAAATTCAGATTTCTTTGCTTGAAAATGGAAGCTGGTGCCAAGTCTCCTCTTTGGAAAATGGTCAAGATTAACCTAAGGGCAAGGAAAAACTCCCCACTGCAGCTGTAGCGCACATCCCGGCATTCATGGGAATGGCCGGGTTGGGAAGTATGCGGAGCCGGCCTGCGAGCCAGCAGGAGTTACTCACTTCCTTCGGCCAAGGCTGAGCCCTCAGCATTTGCCAGCTCTAAATCTGGGCCGAGTTTACTTCTTGCATAGTTGGACTCTGCGCTGTTTGTGCACAAGCTGATTTGGGGGCTGTTGAGAAGGGATGTGCCGAGGCAAAAGGCAGGAATTGCTGTTGCATCCGATTGGTATCGCGAGGGAAGAAGAGGTAGGGGGAAATCGTGGCTGCAGTGCAATCTGTGTGAGCCCTGTTATACGCTGCCACAAAAGCAGATTTTCAGCTTGAACGCTTACCTTCAGGAAGGCCAAAGCTTACAGGAACAGCAGCATATAAAAAATTGGTTCAGGGTCTACAGAGCTAAACAGCCATCAGTCCCCTATTTCCTCCCGTACCCCTAAAATTTGAAGACAAAATTGACTTGAATTACCTTACAAAAAGTATTAAAAATTTTGTATATGAGCATAACTGTTGCTGCATTTGTAACTGGAAATTCATTCACAGAAAAAAAGCAGACTGTTGAAGAGACTTCTTTGTGAAGAAGAGTCGTCTTTTTTTTTTTTTTAATAAAAGTATGGGGAGAAAGGTGATGACAATTATACTTATCTTTCTAAGGCACTGAACAATTGCTTGTTTATATTTCTCTTTGTGCTGGAGAAGAACACAAAAATTAGCAGTGGGGAAAGCTAACATTTTCAATTGTAAATGTTAATGTTGATGTTGCTACTTGCAAAAATAAAGTCCACTTAAAAAAATAAAGTAATTAGCACACACACACATAAATTCAGGGTGGACTAAAGCAATGCTCATTCTCTATACCCCATTTCTTATTAATGTGTAGTGTTAAAACCATACTAGAGTGATTTGCATTATTTGGAGTCTAATCCTGAACTATTACTGCTGCAAAGTTTCATTTGATTCTTTTTTCTTTATTATTTGCTTTTTTTTTCTAGTGTATGTTTCTAGTAATTTCTCCAAAATCTCGTTGCTTTTTGCAGCTCTCATCTTTCCCCTCCTCAGTGTTTCATAAGAACTTTAATGAACGCCCTGCTCTCACTCATTCTCCCCAATTTACTGCCTAAGAATACCTTTAAACTATAACACGTGTGAAAAGATGCAAGAAAGGCATTTGAATTTGAATATAATTCCAAGGCGAAAGGTTTGTTTTCCTTGTACCGGCCGACAACATCAGTTGTTTTCCCCGGCAAGCGTAATTAATTCCCATTAAACGGGTGCTCAGAACATTGCGCACGTAGGGCGAGCACAAAGGCCGAGGTGGCGGTTGTCACATGCGGGTGACAGTGCTCTCAACGCGCCTTGTTTTCTTTGTTTGCAGGAGAGTTGGAGACGTTCCAGAAAGACGGCGAGCGCCGGATTCAGAGCCGGCAGCAGCTTCCGGTTGGAACGACGTGGGGGCCCTTTGCTGGGAAGATGGATCTGAATAATAACACCTTGGTATGTGGATGCGCAGCGGCGCTTTCCTTCACGATATTCCATGCCAATCCATGGGGAATAACCCCTTATTACTCCAGTAGAGCATTTCCGAGCAGGCGTTCGCTCCTGAGTTGTTAGCTCGCACGGACAGTGGTATTTGGAGCTTTTCCAATTAGTTCTTCTGCGGCAGCCGTCCACGTAAAGTTATTTGGAGCACAGGTTAATAATATTAAACTAATTATTTTGCAGAAGGAAAATGCCACGTCTGTGTTTACTAAACCAAACAAGTGCTTTTTGTTTTTAATAAAATACCTGATGTGGGGCGTAGTTTTAGAAGTTTCTTAGCATTAATTGCTGAGTGTGTAATTTATATTAATGTATCATGAAGAAAATAAATAGGTATATTAACTTATACTAAAGCCCGTTAAATTTGCTATGATGTTAAAGCTACTGAACAGGTAGAAAGATCTTTCAGCAGTTTAAAATCACTCTGAAAGATCTTGAAAGGCATCTGTCATATAATATATGTGTTATTTGCCTTTATTTTATTACAATTGCAGAAAGTATATGGGCCATATAACTTATAAGTAATGCTTTGCTGATCTCAGCTTAGTGCACAGAAAATCATGTTGTTCTTAGATCTTCATTTCATTTTTGGTAGTACTCAGTTTATATATGATGTTATTTATATGTAGTTCAGATTAATTTTATGACAATATCTGTAAAGGTGACTCTCTAAAAAAAAAGGAACAAATCCACATAGCAGAGGTGTTTCAGACCATCTTAGAATATGCACTGCCCTGTAGGGTACTGCTGAAGAATTATTATTCTCAGGTGGATCACAATCTGATATTACAGATTTTGCATGAACTCATTAATATAAGGAATGGTGGAACTGCTTTGCAGAAATCTGTTACGTGCATTTGGAGTAATACAACTTAAATATAAAGTGAGAAGCTGAATTTTCCAGAGGTGGAATATTGTTGTTGGGGTATCCCAAGGTGAGGGAAGGGGACAACAGAAGTTCTTGGCCTCTTCCCCGGAGAACCTGTGGCTATGAATTGGAGTCCTGTTTTTAAAAGCTTGCTGGATAGTATGTCTAGGCAGATAAATATGCCTATTGAGACTGCAAAAACAGTCTGTAGTTTTGTGACTACATAATACCCATTTAAAATCTTGATAGAGTTTTCCTATCTTCCTAGACTTTTAAGGACTTTTAAGACTTCCTAGACTGTCAGCAAAAGATGCTACCAAATTATTACAGAATGTGTACTGGAAATTTTGTCTAAATTTGCAAAAAATCAGTATTCCCAATCCAGGTGAGGTTTGACATTCAGTCACCTGATGGATTTTCCAGAGTGACTGATGTTCTAAACCTCCTTTTGTTAGAAAGGGAAATGGACAATTTAAAAACCTGTCTCAGTTGCTCTTCTCCATCTCTTTTATTTCATTTCTATTTCAGCATGTATTTCATTCATTTCTGACATATTGTTTTTCACTAAATGCTATTTTCTACAAGTAGCTGTAATTGAAATAATTTGCCAGTGTTCTACTATTCTCTTCAGTCTTGAGCAATAGAAACCTTAGTCATTGTCCACATAAGACATAAATAAAAACACGCACAATATGTTGTCCCTTTTGCTTCGTTCCCTTTTACTACTCCTTCAGGTATATAAGCTATAAAATAAATCCTTGAGTATGAGACATAATGAAGACTGACACATAACACAGAAGTTGTCATTATCAGATGTCACTATCAGCCATCATAGTCTCATCTAGGCAAAATGTATAAATGCATTTTGAAATCAGAAAAACTTCTGTAAATAGAATTGCCATCCTTATCAGTATTCTCTTGCTCCCTAAATATTTTTATGCTTTGAGATACTCAAAACTCAACTGAACATGAACGTAAACAATCCGATCTGACTTCAGAGTTGGATCTAACTTTGAAGTAGACCCTGATTTCAATGGAAGTTTGGCCTGGAGGACCTCCAGAGGTCCCTTTCACTCTGAATTATTTTATATTTCTATTGTTTTCTCTTTCCTGAATATCACAGATGCTTCCTGTAATCACACATTTGTTACTTTAAAGTGCTTTTGATATAATTTTTATTTAATGTTTAATTATCACAAACTCAGTGCCACCTTCTACATATTTTTCTTTTACTTTTTTTTTCTTGAAAGGATTCTGTTTTATTTATGATCTTGCTGTTTGCTTGACACATTTGATTACTTTTCTCACTAGCATACATGCTCTTTGTTGTTTATAGAAGGAGCTGTGTGTATTTGCTTGAGTTATTTATATCTACTTTTGAAACCTCATTTGGGTAAAGTGTTACATCCCTAGGATTCAATCATAGTTTCAAATCAGCAGCTGACAGCAGGCTTAGTGCATTTCTGAGTAAGAATTTCAAACATTATGCTGTTATCAAATAATCTTTGGAAAAAAGTCTTTGGAAAGGAGAGGAAAGAAAAATTCAGTGAACCTCAGGTGAGTGAATATCATGACTTTTGCAACCGGTCTCTTTTATTTGTAAAGTGTGACTGTGGCTGACTGCAAGTGTCGTTGTTGAAGCTTGATGGTAGCGCTGTGAGACTGACTGTGCCTCGCAGGATTATGCAGCTGTAACAGTTACAGTCTGCTTGATAGCTTTTTGCTCGGCCCTGAACACAATCCTCCTCAAGTGCTTCATATTTCAAGCAGCGCTGTGGTGCTGAATACAGCCTCACTGCTCTTGGCTCAGGAGATTCAGCCAGCTAATTAATACAGCACAGTAATTAGTTGAGTCACTGAGCCAGATGTCAAATACTTTTTAGATCTTTCCAGTTTCTATCTTGAAGAACATTAACGTTATACATCTAGAATTGCAAGGCTGGGTACCTTGAACAACTAGTTTCAGTGCTTTTGTGCCACTGTGATAGGATTAGCTGTTGTTGACTTCATCGGGTACCTCAGCGCTGTCAGGCGATTTGGGGGAGCAGTGTCCACATAAGGACTTGAGAAAACTTAAACTCCAATGGTTGAATTAAACACAACTCAGTGATCAATAAAGTTCTTAATTTTTCTCATCTACTAGTTGGCCAGTGCTCATGAATTCCAGAGTGATAAAAACCCTATATCAAAAAATTTGCCACAGTTCACTACTGCTGCTGTTGATGAAAAGTCTCTGTGCAGCCCCCATAAAGGTTAAGAATGTTGCTTTTCAGTAACAGCGAGTCTCAGATCTTAAAAGTTGTTAAGGCATTTAGCTCTTATTTAACTCCTGTTCTTAAATCACTATGCAAATGTTTATATATCTATCTAGATCATTTTTGGGGGGAGTAAAGTTTGGGTAAAGTTTTTTTTTACACTTAGATAGATAGATTTAATATTTAGATACCTCTAATGTTCTGTTCTTCATAATTTGCCAAATGAACAAAATTCTTTGGCTTTCAACTCCTTGCATGGTGTTCATATCTGTGTGCACGGTTGGACAGATTATTCCCTTCCAGTTTTTTCCACTTCTGTTGCAAGCATGGCAGTTGATAGTCATAAGAAAATGATATGTCAGTGTTTTAAAGTGGAGGTGGCACTCAGAGGCCAGGGGTTAAACAAAATTTCTGTCATGCCTATGTTTGACAAAAATTTATATTAATTCTCCAGGAGTGCAAGAGAAATAAAAAGGAAGAGATTTCTTAGAAAGATGAAAAAAAAAATAGTCTTTTCAAGCCTAGAAAGTGTACCAAAATAAGGGGTTTCTCTTGTTTTAAAGTAAAAAGACATCACTACGTATTTACAGATTTTGTTATCTTGCTGTTTTGACAAACAGGACATTTTAAGAGCTTTGTACAATGCTGTCTTCTATCTCCCATTGGTGACAACTCGATTCTAAGGGGAAGGCAATGTGATTTAATCACTAATTTTGCCAGGAGAGCTCCAACTGTGCACTATGCTGCATCTCTCTGAGAATGCAGCAGTTCCCAGGTAGCTGCAAGTAGACAGGAATATATTTCTAAGCATGAAGCTGATGGGTAGTGAGTCCTCTCTTTAACTAGAAGGTGGATTTGAACAAATGTCAAGTAGAATGTGAACAGGAAGATGAGATAAATGGAGGGCTCTTGTGGACTCATGCTTGAAACCAATAAAAGAGTAGATGCTGCACGTAAGTTCAGCACAGCTAAGGACAACTGCCTAAGTAGTTCCAAATTAAAGCTGCTGACAGGTTGTTTAAGAAAAGGCTATTTATTTTTCCCAGATACAAAAATTTTCCTTATACAAATGCTACACTTTATTTATTTATTTATTGTATTCTTTTACAACTTTGAGGGAATCAGATCCTCCAAAGAGAAGAGTCTTTCAAACAGTTCCCTGCGTCAGCTGGCGCTTCTGGAGACGTGGCAAAGCACTCACAGCCCGTGGTGAACGTGAGGCAGAAGTGCTTGCCATTACTCCATTAATCGAGCAGAATCATTCTGGAAAATGTTCTCCTTTGGCTGCAGCCGTCTGCGTCTTGGCGTTCATCCGTGCCCCATGGCTGGGCTTTGAGAAGGGAAACAACGCGTGGCCGGATCCGGCCTGCCATTCTGGTAGCCACATCACGAGGAGGGGAGTGCAGGCCTGTATCGGCCTGATAAGGAAAAGAGGATTCAAAATGGCTGGGAAGGGAATCCGTGGGAGTGCTGTGGGATACAGCAGAGACCTTTAATGGGATCTGGAAGCCAAAGCGCTCTCCTAGGAGATATCCTTGCAAAACAGTTTGGCTGGGGAGGGCTGGGACTGTCCGAGGAGCCAAGGTTCAAAATGCAGTTAAGCTATTCATGTGCTAATCTATGGCTGGTCACTTCAGGTCAAAAAGGAAGTGTCTGTAGGGCCCAGCAAGTTTTAATCTTTACAGTGTAAAGATTATGTGTAACAGTTTGCGAGTCACTGTGGTTGGAGCTTCTTTACAGCCATCGTGACAGGCCGCCTTCGGGCTCTGGTGATTTCTGTTACGAGCTTAAGGTGAACACTGGAGTGTGAAAGGTACTTTCATCTCTAGGTA